ATCTATCTATCTATCTATCTATCTATCTATCTATCTATCTATCTATCTATCTATCTATCACCTCATCCTCTGATTCAACTCCTGCTCCTTCTTTACAGTATGGTAACTCAGTCTTTTTTAAAGACCTACACCCTAGTTCCCTTCACCCTCATTCCTCTAGGCCCCATATAGTCATCCTAACAACTCCAACTACAGCCAAGCTCCTAGGTCGCTCACATGGTATCAGCCTCAAACTGTCACCCGAAAAACCTGAAACTGCCACTGAATGGACATCGACCCAACAGTGCCCCACCTGGTTATAGCTCACTATAACTCCTGCTGACTCTTCTCTTCACTCTCATCTTACTTCCTCAGATGAGTTCAAGTAAAATTGCTGCCTACGTGTGGAAGTTTTGCATCCAGGGAACCTGGCCTAAAAATACCATCACTTACAGCCATTACGCAGCCACAGCATACTGTCAGCCAGAGGGATGCCGAACTCCCATTCTCCTTACACTTAAACTTACCAGTCCTTCAAATCCTTAACTGTTGGGTTGTTGGCTCCAGCTATTTGTTTCCTTTATGACCAAGTACATAATTATAGCAAATGTTGGTGAGAAAACCTATGGCAGATGCCATTACTCATCTTGTAAAGTCCATTCAGTCAGTGGAGGTACATAAAGCCCAAAGCCTGTGCTCAAAAGGTCAGGATCAGCCATGTTGCTTACCATCTATGACCCGTGGGATAATAGGTGGATACACGGGGTAGAAACAAACTGTATAACTGGCTCCAAGACTCCTACTTCTCAGCTACCCTCAGGAACTTCCAGGTCTACACTCGGGCCGTACCAGAAGTTATCCAACAGCTACCTGTTATATCAGAAAATATCCTCCAGTACGAATCTTCTTTAGATTCAGCCTTAACCATTCATACTCCTCAACTTTTTTCCTTGCTTCCACTAATCTGTTAGGGTGTTAATCTTCTCAATCATATAAGTATTGGCAGTATCACTGCTTTCCTTGTGCTTTCCTGCATCATTCACTTGCAATTCCACTTGCCTCTGCTTTCAATACGCTGCCCTCCTCCTCCCTTGAATTCCCTCTAAATGAAATTTCCCTCTTTCATCAAGACTCTGAATCCAACTATTCCTTTTGCTATGTCTCAAGTGCCCACCACCTCCCCCTTGCAATATTACCTTATTGGTACTGTCAACTTTACATGCTCACCTTGGTGGATACTTTTGGTGTATAAAACTATCATATCTTCCCCTTTTCCATGCATTCTTGTTTCTCAGCTTGTGATATATGGGCAAGAAGAATTATCTGCCCTCCTCACACTTGCCAACCAACATAGAACCCAAGAGCTGTGTTCCTCTCTAGGTTACACCCTTAAAGCCTCAGCCTATCTGTGGCACAAATTCCAAATAATCA